GTGTCGGGAGGCGTGTGAAGGATCAATATTTTACTCTCACAGTGTGACAGGTGTACACTGCTGGAGAAAGCGGCTGAAAGAAACCCTTAGTTAGTGTGAAGCCACTGAGGGGAAATACATATGCATTAGACTATGACTGCTGGGGATATTTACCAGCAGTAACCACACAAACAACAACAGGTAGCAGAGCCTGAAACCAAGACATGTTTAATTCATGCCAGAGGAAGCAGACTACACTGGCTGTACACCTGTATCAGTGAAATAGCCGGTGCTTATTAGACTGTGTGTGTGTGTGTGTGTGTGTGTGTGTGTGTGTGTGTGTGTGTGTGTGTGTGTGTGTGTGTGTGTGTGTGTGTGTGTGTGTGTGTGTGTGTGTGTGTGTGTGTTTGCGTGTTTGCTTTTACGCAGTGATGTGTGTCTGTCGGGATGTCTCACTGTGTTTGTGTCTGATGTCTGCTTTTATTGTTGTTATTGTTTTTGTGTGTCTGAGTGTGTGTGGGAGACTGAGAGAAAGAGAAGAGAGACAGAGACCCCAGGAAGTGATGTTGTCCCTGTATGAGGAAACATTCTCAGTCCATTACCCTGCATGTAGATATAATTAGAGTAAAGCAGGAGTAAGAGCCTGGGCTGCTACAACCATCTGCCAGGTGTATTTCCTTTTTGTAATACAAGCGGACAGATTTGTTTATATTGTAAAGGATCATACCACTTTTTTTGCATGTTTAACTCACATTTATTACAGACTGCATATTTGTATTCTCGCTGACCATGGCCTAAATTACAGCAGGTTTTTTTTTAGATGTATGAATGTATTTTAACTTCTCACATAGATGTAAAACTCGCTTGAGATGGCTAATTTACAACACTAAAAATCATGTTGCCTTTTTTTTCTTCAGAGTTATGTTATGTGGCAGAGCAGTTGAAAGCGAGGAAAGTCATTATATCTGTAAAATGCTATTTCTAAGCTGGTAACAAATATTAATTTAACTTTTATTTATTTCCCCTCCAAAGCACAGTCCAGCAGTGTGATTATATACGGTTTATATATGGTAAACATAGAAGCCATCACACTATAATGATAATAATAGTTTGCTGATACATTGGAATGTCTGTATTTGCTCTACCAGCTAACCTTCAATTATACACAATTATGTGTGTATATTGAGTGTATTGAAGATGTGCCGTCTGTCAAACAGTTACCTCTTGAGAAGGGCCACTAGAATGAATTTGAATTTGAACAATGTTTTTGATGTCTTCGAAAAACGTCATATCGCTAGCATTTGACAGTGTGAGACGTGGATTATGCGCTCCATGAAAACGGAGGCTTTATTGTTTAATTATATTCTCAGTAGAGCATCCTGTGCAGTGTCAGCCAGCAGTGTGTGTAGGCTAGCAGTACTAGTGGCGGGGAACCAGGCTCACTTTTGAGGCATTGTTAGATGCACCAAGGCGTACTAACGCAATGTCATGCTTGGCTGCAGCTCCCAGTGGCTGGGGTTCACACTGAGGGGCAGAAGACTTGAGGGACATCCAGCTCAGCCCTTTCATATCCTCCACGTCGCCTTTTTGATTTTAAGCAGCAAACCACCCCTGACACCCCTACCCACTTCCTGCTCACTCTGTCATGTATAGTACATTTGATTTTAATATGACTCAGTCATGTCTGCTAAGTACTGCAGGTGAAACACGTTGACATGTCTTTATGAGTGTGTCCCTTGTGCACACTTTTGTGCTTGTGCAAATACCATTGCCATGTCTAGTACTATTTATGTTGATGTTTACCATGGAGTTTGTAGGTGAGTCATAGAGGGTGACCTATAAATGTCAAGGAACTGCCCCCATTCTCTCTTTTGTACCAGTCTGCTTCTTCCGGCCTCACCTACCATTCATAGATTACCTCTAAGGATGTACTTATCACCATTATATTGGTTTCATACATATTTTTTACACTTGAAATAACGGGCTGCTTTTACCTCCCAAACATTATAAAACAAACAAGTCTCTCCACTTGTGCACTACTTAATAAACCTATTTTTCTGACGTTTGAGCCTTTACAAAAGTACGATGCCAAAGTGGGGATTGTGAAGGGCTATCACTGTTGGACTGATCATCACTGTCACTGAATCAAAGTATGAGCAAAACCCACAGATATTTAATTTACAGCAACATAAAACAGAAAAAATAGCAACTCCTCACAGTCTTCACAAGCTTGAATGCTTGACTGTTTTGCTGGATAAATGACTTGAAGATTAATTAATTATCAAAATATTTCTCAAATTATTTGTTTTGATCCACAGATCAATTTAATTGTTTCAGCACCATTTGTCTCCAGCCCACACAGCTAGCTGTTAGAGTAACCGAAGCCTTCAGTAATGAATGTCATTTGCAGCCAGATATTGTATTATTGTTGTATTGGTAAAAAAAAAAAAAAAAAAAAAAATTAATTAAAAATACATACAATACAGGGGGAAAAAATCATGTCAGTCTTTAATACACACTGGACCACATCCTTCTAAAAGCCGTCCAGATGATGTTGCTTTTCCACTAACGCTGAGATCCATTCATCTGTATTTCAACAAAGATATTTGGAGTTGTTAAATGTGAGAGAGGAGAGACAAAGAGTGGTGAGTCAAATCACAGCTCAACAAAGGAAAACACTTTGATATGCATTAGAGCAGGACAGGCTTCAGTTACCTTTAAAAGTGCTGGTTTTCACATTATCCACAGGGATTGTTATAGTGCTCTTTCAACAATCCATCCCCATACTTCCCCTATTATCTCGTCTTCTGTCTCCTTATTGCTCTGTCTCTCTCTTTTGTACTCTACTCTTTTCTGGTCTAGTCCAAATCACAATCATTGCCTCCAAATCATGCCACTGTCTTGAGGCTGTTTATTTGGCCCTTCTTGTCATCTCCTTCATCATCATCACATTTCTTCAACTGCTGTCCTTCTTCCACTCTCCTTTCGATGCTTGTTGCCTCTCCTCGTTTAAATTCTGAGTGTTGTTTTTCTATGTGATGGGCAGACAGGGCTGTACCCACACACACACACACACACACACACACACACAGTTAACTACGACGAATAGGCAAGGGACAAACCTTCAATGACTGGTGTGTTGCCAGGTAATGATCTTTAATTACAGCCAGCCTGATGCACACAGGCAAGCTAACAAGCTGTCCGCTGGCTTTTACCTTTTACAAGACTTATTAGGAGACATTGGGGCATCCCACACATGAATGACACCATACATTTCAAACACAATGTGTGAAATCGTAGTTTTCCACAGCACAATCTCCCACACACACACACACACACAAAATCATAAAGAATATTTTTCTTGTTTCATCGGTTTTCTTCCTTTTCAATTAGTTCTATTCTGAGGCAAATAAATGGCAAATGTAGTTTGTCAGTGTTTGGTCAATCATAAATAAATGTAGTCATCCAGCCTTTTCATCTGTTATATTAATGGAGCTACGGTATAATTTTCCCTCTTATTGGAATGCAGTGGACAGACTATAAAGGGTGATGGATGAAAGGGTACTTTAACAGAACAATGCTTAACTTACATTGGAAAATCCCAATAGCAGCAACATATACTTGAAGTCAAGGGATACAGTACAGTGGATCATAGTGCATGTGCTTATACATTTTTTATTGTATTACAATGATCATTTTTAAGTAGTTAGTAATTTTTAATCAAAAATGTCAAAAACTTTTTTGTTTTCAGCTGCTTTTCTTTGTCCTAAATAACAGTAAAGTGATTGTTTTGGGGGCTGGTTGGTTTTGTAAAACAGGATATCTGAATATTCCACCTTTGGTTTCGGGATGTTATAATGGGCATTTTTCATTATATTCTGAAGAGTCAAGAAAACAATGGTCCGATTAATTGAAAATGGAAATATAAGTTGCAGCCATACACACAATTTGAAAAGCACAGCTATGCCCCTGGAACGTGGTACTAGGCATTTCTCACTATTCTCTGACATTTTATTTAATTAAAGGATTCCTCTGAACAATATTTGGTAGTTTAATGAATAATTAATTTAATCATTAGTTGCATTCTTAGTTGACAAGCTTTGCATAAAATAACATTTTTTGTTCCATATATTTGACATGATATTGCACAGTAACCTGGATCCAGATGTTCCTCCTGTAGATACAAAAAACAGGGCAAATAGTCATCATTAGACAGAACATGCAGCACACTGCCAAACCAGCTAGCTGTGTTGTGATTTATGGCGTGTGTTTGATCTTCCTAACTTCAACTTGTTGTGTCAGTCACTCCAGACAGAGAAAGTCACTTCACTGCCTGTATTTTTGTGAGTCTGCATGACTACTCTCTTCTTAAAGTGATCAAATACTGCAAACTTCATCAGAGTGGAGGGAAGGGGAGGGAGCGAGAGATGAGAGGAAAGGCTCATCTGCATCTGTATTTGAAGTGGCAAATGCAAATGGACCAAATGATCTGACAAGAGGAAAATGTGAATTCCTCTCTGCAGCTATTTGCAGATAGCAAAAAAGAAACACTTTTTTTATATTGGACAGGCCCTTTTACATTACTGCAAAATGCCACACACTGATCAGACATTTAATAAACCACCATGGTTCCATCTTGGAATTCTTGATGATATTCTTAAACCATTCAGAGCAGCAATTTGTCTGTTTTGTTTGAGATTTTACTTGTCGTCTCTTGCAAAAGAACCAGTGTCAGTAGCTGGTTAAAAGACTGTGAGACTTACAGTTTAAAGACACATTCTTCAGCAAAACTGAGAGCAAGAAGAGACAACAAGCTCAGTCTGCCAGCTCTTTTATCATTGTTTTTCAACTGATTTTCTTTTCCAATCTCCCTTCCAGCAAAGTAAAGGACAGCGGCAGACTGAGGACTGTGATAGACTGGTAGTTTAGCAGAATCGTATTGTGTTCATGTTTTATAGACATTGGAAAATACCAATCTCCAGCCTTTCTCAAGTGTTGAATGTTCTCCTTCCTCCTAACAGCTCTTCATGTAGATGAGTTCAATGTCAACTGCAATGGTGGCAGGCAGTATAGCTTTAACAGTCCAGGAAAGAAAAAGACAGGCAAGTACTGCTGCAGTCAAGACTTACTGAGGCTCCCTGCCTTAGCCTGCTTTCCTGCCTGCCTGCCTACTAACTTCTCAAAAACTTCAAGAGAGCAGAAGAAGGGAGGGGGGAGAGAGATGAGTAAAAGCTCATCTCCATCAGTCGAAGCAGCAAATATAAATGGAGCAAATGATCTTACATGAGGAAATGTGAACTCCTTTCTGCTGCTATTTGTAGATGGAATAAAGGAATACCTCTCACACTATTTTCTAATATTGGACAGGGACAGTTTTCCAATGAACTGCTATCACATTAAGGTGGAAAGATTAACTGCTACGTATCAGAAAATCAATACAAGAGTGTGAGATGTTACACTATACACAGATCCAAACCCAAATTCTATACAAAAACTTGTCAAAAGTGGATTAGCTCCTATCAGTGGTGGAAAAATTTGTGCTACTCTGCCCGAAAACTTGACAAAAAGGAATGCTTCATGCAAAACATGCAACACCCTAAAATGTTTAGCACCAACCTGACCAATTTATTCTTTTAAGAACACAGCATGCTGCAAGAATGATAGTGCTTTCAGAAACAGGACCACTCATCCCGAGGCAAGCTAACAACAAAGCTAGCAATACCAACAAATGCTAGTTGTTCTTAAATTGTCCTGGTCAAAGGCAATAACTGAAGCAATATATTTACAAGGACATGCTCCCATTTAGTTTTGTTCAAAGCGCTGGGTTTAGATGGAGGACAGTGACCTTCAAATGGAGGCAAACAATACCCAGTTTTCAAAATTGAAGGAATGTATTCTTCATGGGGACTGTCCAAACATCACTGCTTATTGTTAAAGGGCAACTCCACCAAGTTTATACATCCACATGTGTTTACAGTTCTTGGGCAGTATTACTGCTATATGAAGGTGTTAAGCCTTTTGTGGCCCCACAGGGTGCGAAATCTGATAAATTAGCCCAAGTAATATCTTTTCAGTCACTGTCAGTTGGGCTGGAGGCGCCTCAAAGTGAAAGAAAAATCAGAACAAAAAGTGAGCTTACCAGACCTCTGTAACCTAACTGTCAGTGGCCAAGTTGCATTGTGGGTGCCAGGCTTTGACAACGAAGAGGAATGCTTAGAATAAAAAATACAATATCTCTCGTTCTGTTGTATAGATTTTGATCCTGTCCATCATTAAGTCTGACAATGTATTGAGTGCAAGGGTAAATTGGTGGGACACTATTTTATCGATGGTGTGACAGTTGCTGAAATAAAAAGGGAGTAAAGTTCTTAAATGTTTTTTTTTTTACTCCTGAAGCAATATATTACAAGGACATGCACCCATTTAGTGTTGTTCACCCCTTCCAAGCACGAAGGAGAAACTAAGGTGGCCGCAAAACGCGCAAACAACACAAACGCCCCTATCTAGATTCAGTGATTGTCCATTACTGTAGGGCTACTGTAGAAACATGGCGGTTTAACATGGACTCCATGGAAGGAACTAATGAAAACATAGTTATGAATATTGTATTCCATTTCTGCCATCAGATCCTCCTAATTGTAAAACACTGGACCTTTAACTTATTGCCAGTCAAACACTTTTCAAATATACTGATTTTAAGTGTATCTACAATTTCAATATCAGATTGCTCATTGTGTATCTAAATCTATATCAAATTGGCTTAGAGGGATAAATGCATACTACATTCTACCATCACAGCATGTGTTCAATAAAAGACAACAGTTTTGTCTTCAAATTCCATTCGTTCTCCTCTAAAGCCAGTGTCAGTTCTTGGTTAAAGGAGTACAACCTGTGAGATGAGACATGTTTTACATCTCTCAGACATATGTTACAGCTTAGATGAAGGCATACATTGAGAAGCTAGCAAGGCTTCAAAGGAAGGGGCAGCTAGGTGTCACAGGCGGGCAGAGTGAGAAGAAACTGAACTTGCCAGCACTTTGATCATGTTCACCACTAAAGACCAGGACCCTGTTAGAAAGAAAAGAAATGCCCTTTTAGATAAGAGGTCTTATTCAAGTGTGGGTTTCTTCTTTTATGTAAGTGTAAATGTCTAAGTATTTATACAGTACTTACTGACCAGTATGTGTTTTTCATATTTAATTAAGGGTTCATGCAGAGCATTCAATACTTAAATGATGAATTTTAAAATAAATGTCACTTCAAAGATGTACATGTATGAAGTTTGATAATATCCGCCTGCATTTTCTTTCTTTGTTTCTTTCCAAGAAGACAGAAATGGCATCTGGTTTAAAATTTCAACACAAATGTAAACAAGATATTAAAATGCAAATTGCTGATACCACAATTGATACTTTTTTCTCAACATCGCCGCAGAAATCTGTGAGTGTGTTATTTGTAAAGGAAATGTGTGTTTATCGGGATAGAGCAGAAAGAAACAGCCATGGGGGGTAGATGACAGGTTTTTAGGGGGAGGAGAGAGGGACAGGACAGGATGGGGGAGTTTAATGTAAGAGGATCGACGGCGGGTGAATAATTGTCATCTTTACAACTGAGACCGCAGCAACAGGAAGAGAGCAAAAAGGGTGAGATAATGAGAGGAGACTTGGATTTTCAGCTGTGGTAAATTTTCAGTCACAGCAGCAAGGCAACACACTACTCATTTCATCCTTTTAAAATCCCCCACTGCCTCTTGTTTGCCTAACAAGTTTTTGTGTGAACGTGTGTGTGTGTGTGCGTGTGTGAGAGAGAGTGTGAGAGTGATCGTTGGCTTTCTTTGCTTAATTTTGCAGTCTGTTCCTTCTTGTCTGCTCTCTTTCCTGCTTTTATCCTTATTTATTTGTCAGAGGTTGTGTTCAGGGACGTTCCTTGTCATTCGTCAGCGTGGCCCATAAAACACACTGTCATGACTGACTGGCCACGCTCCAAACTCATTACCGATTGGCTGACAGAGCGGGTCGCTCTGTTCTGCTCTGCTGTGTTTGACTCCTGTTTGCCAGACATTTAATGCTCAGGAAACTTTAAATGCGGTGGTGTCTTTCCTCGCACCACTCCTCTCAGCCTCTCGCTCAAGGTCACATGAATATGGATTTACCCTCTCCTTCCAGCGCACACATACTGATGATGAAGTCTAAGATCTACTCAGAGGGATTATAATTCAGAACGTAGGTCTGATCTGGGCCGTCGCTCTGTTCCACTGTCTGTCTGGGTGTGTGCTTAAAGTTGAAAACCAGAGGGGAGGGCGGGAGGCTGAGGAGAGAGGAGAGCGGCGGAAATAAGAAAGATGAAGCGGACTGGTTGCAGGAGCAGAGAGCTGAGATGAAGAGCGGAGGACGGAGAATGGATGATAATGGTGGAATCAGGGGAGGTGGAGCTGGGTGGGAGGGTGTCATGTAAGAGAAAAGGGAAAGAGACTGGGAGATTGGAAAAGGGCGACGTACAGCGTTATTGAGTTTCTGTTGTGGTTGATCAGCCGTATCCATTTCATCATATTGAGCTTGCTGCATGCCACAGTCTGCTGCAGAAAATGGGTCCTCATCAGTGTTTGTATACACAGTGTACGCTTCTATGGTGTGTGTTTGTGTGTATCATTAACACTAACAGTGTGAACACTAAGCTCATGTATATCTGTACCTTTCTTTTGTTTTGCATGTGCATATGCTTACTAAAGTGCATCTCGTTACTGCCTGGCGATTGATGTTATTCACTCATTTTGTATTTGCTGCAGAGTGACTAACGCTACATTTTGTGTTCACTTGCTGGCCTTTGTTGAACCTTTCTCCTTTTCTCTTTGTTGCTAATGTAATTTAATCTTCAATCTGAATAACCCCTTGCTTCCATTCGTTTAACAAGTCAGATGGGCATCTATTTCTTTTCTCTGTCCTCCCTCATCCTCACAGTTGTGCTCACTGTTTTGTTTCTCTGTTTTCCACTAACAGAAAACAACAAGGCACCTTTACAAAGGTCTCGCTCTCGGCAGAATATAAATGCGGGTTCAGCGGTGGTGAAAGCTCCCCCTGCCAAGGAGGCCCATAATGAGTCTGAGGGCCATCCATCTGCAGCCCGGTCCAAGGCTGCTGCGTGTACGGAGTCAGGCCGCAGACACAGGAACCCCCCGGGTCACAGCTACTGGCTGGACAGAGAGAGGGTGGTGGAGAGAGAGATGGTTAAACCGACTGAGAAAGAGATGGAGGTTGAAGCAGAGCCGCCAGCCTTCCAGCCGACCTCCACGGTTGCTGCGGTCAGCAGCTGTAGCACCAACGGGGAGTCAGATGTAGAGGCTCTGCTGGCCAAACTCAGGGCCTTGTGAGGTTAATTTTTATATACATATACATCCTGACGTATGTTTGTACCCACACATGTGAATGTGTTCTGAATGTAACCTTAAAAGATTCAATCTTGTAAACAAGCAGAAAATGAAGTTGAGATAAAGTTGCAAAAGATTTGTCAAGTATAAAAGTTTAATAAGGAGACAAAAACATTAATGAAGCCTTGTAAAAAATATATATATATTAAAAAATGTGTATGCTTTTAACACTTTTCTAAAAGAAACGTCTTACAGGTAGAGCACTTTGGCTCACAGAATGTCTTCAGAACTTACTTCATAAAATAGAGACGGATTTACAACAGTAGTGATTCAGTGAAAACATACATTATAGTCTACATAGAGAGAGAACATACAGCCTGATCCTGTACTACTAAAAGCGTTCGGCTATCCCTAAAAAGGGGAATATATCATAGCTCTTTCTCTGAAAGTAAAAGATACAGTGTCGCATAGCACTTTCTTTGTAATGCAGAAAACAATATCTATTTCCTTTACATTGGCATCACTTATAATTTCTTCTACTGTAGCATTTATTTTACACCTTTATCATATTATTACCTTTATTTTAGTTTTTAATTACACATTAGTTATTTTCATATGCATGTTAATGGTCATGTACAAGTAAGAGACATTTGGTATTTAATTATTTTCTTTTTTCTTCTTCTTTTCTTTGAGTCTTTTTCATTCCTTGTGAGATGACGGAGTGTCTTTTTATATTCAAAGCATCAATCTAATATTTGTATTTTCTATAAAGATGTCTGCACTCTATTAAACTATAAATATATATATAAAAAATGTCCAATACATATGAGTTATGACATATGATTGTGCTTTCACAGGTTAGACCAGTGATTAGATGTCATTTGACAAGTTGATTTTGGTTGACCTAGACTGTTTTGTCTGTTTGTCTTAGTGAGAACATTTATACACATCGAGAATAAGTCTGCTGCAGTGTCTAAGAGTATTCTAAATATCCACAATGTGGCACAAGACAAACAAGTTCACCCAGCTACAAGTTAACCAGAATTGGCACTGATTATCTTCTACATTCCTACTGAAATCACTCATATCTTAAAGCATATTTCTTGTATTCTTTATTATACCCTCACTTTTATAGACCCATTTACAATAAAATAAATCCAAAAAAGGTTTTGTTGTCTTTTTTTTTATTTTATAAATCACTGAAGTTTCAAACTTGTCTGAAATGACTACCGTGAGCAGAGACACTGATCACTTCCTCGCCATCGCTATCAGAAAGTAATTGCCATTGATCAAGTACAGAGGAGACGAAATCGGAATACTAGTTGGCAGCACTGCACTTAGTTGTTACAGGACACATTGATGGTAGAGACAACATGAGACAACACAGATCCAAATGACTGATCAAGTGATGGTTTGGTTCTTTTTCAATATTTACTTGCTGGAACCTTTTCAAAGTTACGGCATCTTCCTCTGTGCTACCTTTTACTTTAATTTACTACAAACTTCCATAACTGGGCTCTTCTAGAATGCAGTGCCTTGGATGAACAACATACAATTTAAAGAAGCTATAGTGTGCAGTGTCCTAGAAGTGACTGTTGTTACTCAGTGAATACTTTGCTACATAATGAGCTCAGTTTTCTTATAATTCATGAATTGATTTCCTCATAAAACCCTACATAATCATGTGTACATATAATAAAAATCCAGATCTATCATACTTTCTGTGCATCTGCACCGTTAAATTGTCTAAATAAAAGTCATACTTGACTTAAAGCTTGTGAAGAGCATGTGCAAACGTTTATCACTGACTTATTAATTAAACAAGACATTAAAAGTCACTGTACTGAACATATGCCTCTTTTAAAGCATAAATCACGTGTGTATTGCACAGTAGATAAAGTCCAAAAAGTCCCATGTAATCTGGACATAGAAAGAATTGAGAGTTAGTGGGAGAAAAAGAGATATCTGCCAACCAGTTAACCCACTATCTGACAAGGTCTGCTTGCTGTAGCCTGTCAGCTGGTGAATATCCTCCACACTGGGAGTGACATAACTGTCCCCATCTGGAGCCGAGCCAGACTATACCTCTCTGGCGATGCACTCAGCAGTTTGGTAGAGCTGAGTAGTTGATTCTGCTCCTCCAGTCATTCAGCTTTAGCTGGCTGCAGTGGGCTTTTTTTTTTTTTACTCCTTTATGGTTCTCTACAAGGATGTAAGAGCAGTCACCTTCAGTACATCAGCTTTTCGTAAAAATTCTAATTTTTTTTTTTTCTTTTTCTTCCCAATGCCACAGATAAATAGTTCCATTTCTGTGTCACTGAAGTTCTTTTTTTTCAGTTTCCTAAATGTTATTTTGATCTAGGAGATTATGGGAGTGCGGATGTTCTCCTTTCCCTAATACAGCATTTCTGAGGATGTGCCATGATGTTAATACAACATAATTAATGTGCTGTAAACATGCTCCTGATTTTAGGTTCTTAACAATGTCACTAAAAACATGTCCCCAAATGTTTTAGGAATTCAGCCTTTAATCTGAGTTACAGATTATTTTACAGAAATGTGCATCGTTCTCCACAAGGGTGTGTGCGAGTTTGCGCACGAGGTAAGAACACTCTGTCTAATTGTTAATATAAGATGATTAGCTAGAATACATTTTGTCCACATCAGGAGTAAGAACCTGGAGCTGCATGCATATTGACAAAACATTCTTTTTAATTGCCTGCATGATTTCAAGATCTAAAAATTGATTATGTTTTTTGTTACAGCATCTGTGCAGGGCCGGCTCCTTTTGAAAGGAAAGCAGGAAAATGACCAGCTAAACTCATAGACACAACAAATTGAGAGGAGAAGGAGAGCATAAGGAGGGTAGGATCTTGTTATGCTGAGGGAGCCTTCATTACTCACAGGCCTGTGTTCCAGCCATGAGGTTTATCTGTGGGCCTAATAAAGTGGAGCAAAACATATTGTGTAGCAGATTGCAATCTGGGCTTCTTTGATTGGAGATGAAGTTAAAAATGTGTCTGAGGATTTGTAGAGGAGGGGGAAAGTACAAAGCAGATCAACAGATTTGTCACTATTTCCTTTCCCCAAGAGTCAAAGAGTGAGCACTCTGCTGTATTTATAACTGCCTGTGCACATCATACTGTGGAATGTTATGGTGCAAAAATTTCTATTTTCAGCTTGTTTGGCAGAATCATTTTGTAATCTACTGCTGATGTTGTCAGTCACGGTTGTAGACAGTGGTTAGGAAGGATGCGGCCATCCATCCCTGTCTCCTGCAAAATATGTTGAAACGCTATTAATTTGCCTTGCCAAATACGTTTTGGTGGAAATGTAATTGCTGCCTGGATTACGCCGACTGACAATCCAGAAAAGTATGATGTTCTTACACTGTGTTGACACAGGCTACGTAATGAAAGCAGCGAGTCAGCAGCTCCCTGTCAGTGTCTACGCTGGAAGTGTTCAGCCACCGTACTGTGTGATCACACACGTTTTGGCAGCGCTCGTAGCACACATTCACTGTAGTGAGGTGTGTAAGACTGAAACAAATAGACTTGGAGCCTAAAAAGATGCTTTGGGTCATGGTTAAGAGAGTGAAGTATGAGCTGTCACATGGTCTGTGTAGGCTGCTTTATTGATTAAAATTAAAGGGCATTGTTCCATCTGACGTGCATCAGATGGACGACTGAAAAACTACAATGTGCTGTTTTACAGAGGTTATGTGCCGCTCTATTTGTTGTTTGCCTGCACCTTTCAGAGAAATAGTCTAGCCTACCCTATTTTTCCACGTCTCCTCATTGTCTGTACATTTAGCTTCAAAAAGAAAAATCTTGTAATTTCTCCGTTTATCAGTAATCCTTGAGCTCCTCCCAAAACTTTTGCACTCAACTTCTAATAAATTGCAAATTCCTTTTTTTCTGACAAACAAACAACTGATCGTTTCTTTTTTTTCTACTCTGAACTATGAAGCTGCACCACAGAGCATCACTGTGCGGCAGAACTTGACTAATCATTGTGCAGCCAGAGCCGAGTCACCTTGTTGTTGGGCTCAGAGCCAGGAGGAGACCGTTATGGTGGTAAACCAATACCCTAATAGTGTCACCCAGGGACAAGTCGGGCTCTCATTGTTCTTTCCTGTTTATAGATCAAGCCAAACTGGTCTTAGACGAAATGTTCGTGTCTGTGCAAAGTGCTTATGCAGTGTTTGTGGTTCAACACTTACTTAAATCAACAATGGATTCCTCCCACCTTCTTTATTATTCCTCCTTCATTGCTGTCTACCAGTCTGTGTGTTGCCCTCTCTTTTCTTTACTGGGGCAACCTCCATCTGTCACTGCAGGTGTGTTTTTGTGTGTCTTGTCTGTATTACTTTGATCACCGTTGCATTACACCAGTGTAATTTTTTACCCTCTTTCAGTTCTTTGTCTTTGTCTCACAGAGATGTTTGTTGATGTTTTTTTGTTGTAAAAACCGTGAAAGAGAAAACTCATCCCTCGCCGCTTTTCAAACAAATAGCACATATTTGGCAATCATGCAAATATCACAACAGATATTAAATATCTTGCTATCTGTCGCAATGCACTGATTTATTCCGCCTTCAAACAGCTGAGTGGTATCCTGTGGTCTGAACTTTCTGCATGTTCATTCACTGTAGTCACAACAAATTAATAAGCTTTTGTTCGCTGCTGTTTTTGTCAGTGGCAGCTGATCTTTTTTGGTTTGTTCTTCTGATATTTTAATAAGTTTGGCTTGCAGGAGTGCTTAAAAAAATTATTATAAATAGGAAACAACCAGAATCACTAATACTGTAAAAATATATGAAAAATGAAAAACTTTTCTGACAAACATTTTATAATAGTTGCATGTTGAAATAACACGGGAGGGTTACACTTTTAAAATGACAGATAAAGGTGAGAAATAAAATATTTAGAAAATTCTGTTAAACTGAAACAAGCTGAAGCTGCTTTTCCTTTCCTTTATTTTAAGTGTCAAAAGTTCTTTAAAAAATATGCAACTATAGCCATACAAAAACAACATAATTATAGCTGACTTGCATGTCAATTTAAGGTTGTAATTCCCTATTTCCATTGAAGAGTGTGTGTGACAGTTCGGAGATGAACTGTGGTTTGTTTTTAGGTTTGTCTAATGTTGCTGCAATACATAATAGATTCCCTAAGGGCTATGGCACTGAGCAGAGTGACAACTGTAAAAACACCAAGTACAGTTGTGCTTTGGCGGCAACAGAAGTGAGCACATCTGGCTTTGATCACCATGGTAATGGTGGTGCGGAGAGTGACAGGGCAAGCAGAGCGATGGAGGCAGATTCTCAGGGGGATCATTATCCTGTTTAGTAAGTCTAATGAGAGAAAGGGTGTTGCACCTCAGTTAACTGCTGTCCTTGTTTAAAACAGGCACAAGCATATGCAAGATGTAAGTAAAAACAGGAATAATGTGTCTCCAAGATGCAAGTATACCCCCCATTCTACAATCCTTACCAACGTAGACACATAATTACTGTGTTTTTGCAGCCATCCAATAATAAAGGCACTGTTAACACTGAAAACACGGCTAAGTGGGGGTGTTAAAATGTTCTCATTTCTTTCATTTAAAAATCACAACAATCACATAGTCGAATAATTTCTTTAAATTGGTCTACAAAGAGAATAGACAAAGCTGTGGGGGAACTGGTGAAGACAACTAACAGAATGGTGTTGATTAGAAGCAATGCAACCCACCTGAGTCAAACACTGGATTTATTCAAAAGAAAAAGAAAAATTACAATTGTGTTACTTACTAACCAACACTCAGGACATTTTTAAAAAGGACAAGTTGCAATTTTTCAACCATCTGTCCATACATTGGTCCTAATTAACAATACAGAAAAGGACCCTGTACATTTCTGTCTATTTGCTCAATAATGAGAGGTGGACGGGTTCAGATCATTGGCAGATATAAACCTATGTCAAAGACATGTAGCAGAACGATACTACTACAACTCCCTCAACCCTTATGGTACAGACAGACTGGATCCATTGACTGATGTGAAGATGACGGATTATTTTCTACGGTGAGCAGGAGATGCGGCTGTGTAATGCATGACAGATACGCCACAACAAGTTGACTGACCGTTCGCCGCATCAGAATTTGCATAAACACAACTTGACTTT